TATAGCCCGGTCAGCAGTACTTGCCCTGTCTGCACATGTAAGCTATCTGTTTTAGATACTTTAAAGTCACGAGCTCTATTAAAAGATTTAGATTTTTTTTTTCCTTTCCAGATCAATGCCTGTTGTTAGACAGGCACACTCTTAATTAAAATTACAGAAGGAAGCTAAGAAGAAGTAGTAAAATACTGTCTTCACAAATCTGAATTTAGTTTGTTGGCAGAACTCTAAAACAATAGATTATTTATGAACTGCATGCAGTTACATGTATGCATATTTTATAGATTTAATATAATGGATACAATCATTTGGAGGGATTGCAAGAGCTCAGATTAAAGCAAGATGTCACATATCATATTAGATATAAAGCCAAAATTTAATGAGACAAGTAAAGGTCAGAGAGGCAGACTGCAGATTCAATTTGATACTCCTGCTCTCCTCCTTGTTCTTAAGCATGCATCATAACTTCAACTTCAAACACAAAGCAAAATTAAAAGTCAGTATGAAAGGATAATTCTACTGCCAAGATCACTACAGCAAACACGAAAGTTAGAAATTAGTTTCTATTCCAGAAACTAAATGATTGCACTTTAGTTCATCATCTCTAGTTCTCATTTTCCAAAGTACTCTCAACTAATTTTCAGTGAATGCTGTCTAATTAATTAAAGCTTGATCCAGTAAAGTTATTAACACTCCCTACTGGTGGGCTAGGAAAAAAAAAACAACCCCAACAACTGTGTCTAATAGTAACATAGCACCTCTAGAAGTGCATTACCTGCATTTTTACTGATAATCTGGATTCCAACTATTTTCTCTATTGTCCTGCACTCAGGAAAGCCCTTTATCATTACTCCTCTTCCCCTCTTTCCATTCTTTACCGTCTGTCTCTATTTTTCCACCCAATACTAAAGTCTTGAACAAAAAGATATTTATTTCGATAAGACTTTTCCTTAAGGCCTTAGAAGTACTCAACCTGTTCTGATTAGCAATCTTTTCTCCTCCAGGTCAACAAATGTACACCCAAGAAAGATCTGAGGGGTCAAGGAAAAGCAGATCGGTAAGGAGGAAACAAGGATGGGACAAGTGAGGGATGCAGGGTCAGAGCAACATCAGGATTTTTATACTATTTTTCTCTTTCCAAAGAATTTATTTCCTGTCCTCTCAAACAGTTTTGTCTCTTGCCTTACAAGCTTTTCTGTCTCCACTTTCTTAACTTCTTTCTGTCATTATTCCTCTCTTAATATGAATTGGTATTTCCAAGACATAATTTGCTGTTAATTTAAACTCAGGGTTTTTTTGAGGAACAGAGAGAGATAGTCTTTCTTGAGTAGATCTCACTATCTTTACAGATATGAAAGAAACCTCCAAAATATATGAGCATGTACAACAGAAGTGACGATGACCATACACAATGTAAGCAAGCATATGACAGTTTCATTTTTCCTTTTTAAACACATTATATACTGTAAATGTCCCCAGCCATTTTGCCTGCCTTTTTTTTTTTTTTTTTTTGTTTCAACATAGTGTTGCTTGTCTAACCCTTAAAGCAGCAGCCTATTTGAAACAAATAATTCAATGGCCCTATTTGGGTTGCTTCTTAAATTCTTCCTTTTTTTTATTCCAATCATTTTATTAATTGCTCTCCAATTTTCCTACTACACTCCTTAATAATATATTCTTCTCATTCAGAAATGAGCTTTTTAAAAAAATGGCAACTGCCAGACTTTGGAGGCCATTTGTTCATTTCCAGCCACCCTACTCAGTTGTACTCCACTGCAGTCAGGCTTCCAAGGACGCTTTTCTTTAACGCCATTATTTCTCATCAACTTTTGAACAGCTGAAACAAACTTTTTTCAGTTTCTATCTCTCAGTTTTTAGCATACTTTTGCAAGCTTTTGCCATAAAGTAACACAAGGTGAGAAATTTGTAAGAACTGTATTCTTAGGATTTCTTCCCCACACATCTTCTTGCAGAGAATCCACATTCACTTAGAATGTGGCTACCTCGGAGCTCTGAACTTATTTATTGGTCCTTTACTTTTCAACCACCACTCAGGCTTCCCGAATCAGCCTTTGCTTTCTCCTGTTACTTGCAAGAAATTAATATATATTTAAATTACTCAGTTCTAAGATTACTTATACATTCTTTCCAATATGCCAATGAATATTGCTGCAAAAATTCTTCCAGAATTTCTAGTTTAATTTTTGGCTTTCATTTAAACTATTTTTTTCTATCCTCATTTTTTTTTTCTTCTGCTAAAGCTTACAGAATAACAGCTTCTTTCAAGACTTCCAGAATTATCTTTTCTCTCCCTCTCACCCCCCCATCCCTTTTTTTAAAGCCTCTTAGTGATGTTATGTTATTCATGCACAACTGTTTCGAAGTTTCAATCTTATTGGAAACAAAAACTAGGAGATGGCAATCCTTCTGGAGACAAATACAATTTCAAATGTCAATTGGAGCTGAATGAGGCTCCCAGCTCAGAGCCAAAGAAAAGTTCACCGACAAAACCCAATCAGCATAAGGAGCATTGACATAGAAACACCTACATTTCCCTTGATTTAAGTTTCATGTCTTTCATTGGCTCTATATAGGTTCTGTGTACTTCATAGCATAATTATTGAACAACACCTGGACTGATAGATTAAGAGACAGTTAAGTACGAGACATAGTTTACTAATAAATAAGCTGATGGCAAAAAGGTCACTTCAAAGTGAAATGGAAATAAAATCCTGGGCTCTTTGAATACTTCAAAGTTTAGAAGCCCTGAGTCTACCACAAGTATTTCCTTCTAAACCTCCTCAATTTAGATGTAGGAATGGAAGCAGAATTCCATGTCTCTGAACTAATAAACAGTTGCAGAACTCTCTCCAAAAAGTTGACCTCTAATCAGCTGTCATGGAAGAAACACTACCTCTACACCATCCCCATAGGTCAAGCAACAGTCACACTGACACAGAATGAATCCAATAACTCAAACTCTCCTGATGAAGAGAAGTTTTTTAATGTATCAGAAGCAAAAAAAATTGGCCTGACCACATAGTAAAAAACCAACCAACCAACCAACCAACCCCAAACAAAAAGGCTCTGAAAGCTGTCTGTATTTAAAAAACATAGCCATTTCAGAATTACAATGCTATACACAGTAAAACACATGCAATTTTCTTCTCTCTGTTGTGAAATATACTTATCACAAATATTTTCAAGACATTTGAAAAGACATTTGGGGTTTCAGAAAATTAAAACATTAGTAAAGAAGCAGCAACTCTTTTGTACATAAGAGCATAGTATTACTATAATGATTTTTTTCCCTTTTTATTGGCAGGGGCAACCTTCGTTAAATTACAAATTAATTTCTTCTAAATGTGCATTTAATGCTATCTAACCTAATGAAGTTCAGCAAGGGCAAGTGTAGGGTCCTGCACCTAGAGAGGAATAACCCCATGCACCAGTACAGGTTGGGGGTTGACCTGCTGGAGAGCAGCTCTGTGGAGAAGGACCTGGGAGTCCTGGTGGACAGCAAGTTAACTGTGATCCAGCGATGTGCCCTTGTGGTCAAGAAGGCCAATGGCATCCTGGGGTGCATTAAGAAGAGTGTGGCCAGCAGGTCGAGGGAGGTTATCCTCCCCCTCTACTCTGCCCTGGTGAGGCCACACCTGTAGTACTGTGTCCAGTTCTGGGCCCCCTAGTTCAAGAGGGACAGAGAACTACTGGAGAGAGTCCAGCAGAGGGCTACTAAGATGATGAGGGGATGGGAGCATCTCTGCTACAAGGAAAGGCTGAGAGACTTGAGGCTCTTTAGCCTGGAGAAGACTGAGAGGAGATCTTATCATTGCTTACAAATATCTAAAGGGCAAGTGTCAAGAGGATGGGGCCAGGCTCTTTTCCGTGGTGCCCAGTGACAGGACAAGGGGCAATGGGCACAAACTGGAGCACAGGAAGTTCCACCTCAACATGAGGAAAAACTTCTTTACATTAAAAGATGGCAGAGCACTGGAACAGGCTGCCCAGGGAGGCTGTGGAGATATTAAAAACCTTCCTGGACACAATCCTGTGCAGCCTGCTATAGTGAACCTGCTTTAGCAGGGGGGGCTGGACTAGATAATCCCAGAGGTCCCTTCCAAGCCCTACCACTCTGTGATTCGGTGATCTGCAGTAAGTTTTAATTATATAGGAAGTCTGGAAGTTAATAAGCCAGAATCACTAACAAAAAGGTTATAGTTTTTTTTTTATTATTTATAGGATTTGCACATCTATCACGATCTAAAAATATACACACAGGTATACGCTTAAGAGTTATTGTTACAAAAGACATACTTCAGTTATAGGAAAGCTAATATACCTGAAACACAATTCATCATTACTGTTACTCATCATACCCATAGCCAGAAACATTATCCTTGTAGAAAAACAGTTTTACATTTCAGTCTTTTATGCACAAACTTTCAAGTTCTTACAACTTAAATGTGGTTAGAATCACAGAACAATGCAGGCTAGAAGGGACCTCAGCAGGTCTCTAGTCCAACTCACCACTCAAGCAGGGCCAGCCTCAAATTTAGATCTGATTGCCCAAGGACTCATCCTGGTAAGTTATAAAAATCTCCAAGCACAGAGATTAAACAACTTCTCTGTTTAACCGTTCTCATTGTGACTTTTTTTTCCTCATTGCAAGATTCCTAACTGCAGCCTGGGACATTATCCTTGCCTCTTATTGTTTCAGCATACACCTTTGACAAAAGCATGGCTCACACTTCCTTAAAACCTCCCTTCCACTTCTAGGTACATTGTAGTCATAACTATAACCTTAACAGAAAGTGTTGAAAAGAATAAAGAGTATAACTTCAAAACAAATCATGTCAAAAAATTTAAGCATAGTCTGAGCAACAGAATCACAAGCACCCACTCATTAATGCCTATGATGAACACAGAAAATACAGAAAATCAAGTTGATTCAAACTCAACACTCCAAATTATCAGTAATTCTTTTTTAAAGATGAACAAACCTGGGCCACTTTAACGGAATTTTGAGTAGAACCACCAGCATGATATTCTACTTTGAACTTTTTCACAAGTTCTTCAAATCTGTTAAAAAAAAAAAAAAAAAGAAGGTGGAGAAGAATAAAGTTAAACTCTACAATTCTATTTTCCTCAAAAGAAAAAATGAAGGTTAGAAGTAGATGACATCATGTTATTTGAAAACAAGAACTTCAGATACATTAGCTGTTACACATGGTGCAAGCTGGAACATCTCTTTAGATCTTCTCCAAATTACAAGGCAAAGTATAACATCAACTTGAAACCTTCACCTTAAAGTTGCAAGTGGAGCAAATAAGCAAAAACCCACATTATCCAAAGCTTAAGCTTGATTGCAATGAACTGTTAAATTGATAAAATATATGTTTGGAGAAAAATTATATACATGAAGACATTCAAATACTTATTCCACCTCATTAAGTCTAGAAACGTAATGTAAAATTAACTAAGAAGATTGAGGAGATCTGGTGTCTATTTCAAAACTAACTGGACCCAAATAAGAGTGCTGTGTTTCAAGTTTTCATACGAAATAGTACATTTTGATGGGTGAAGAACTTCTATGAACAAATCTACCAGTACATGAGAGAATCTGATAACAGAAAAGCTAAGTGGCTCCAGATGAGCTTTCAAATCATTCAAGTCATACCACTATAAAAACATAGCATTCTCTGATAACATTCAGTAGCATATTGTTAGGTTTGAACATTAAAACAAATATGTAAAGTTTTAAGGAAAATACCTACCCTCATATTTCAAATCAAACTTTAGGGCTGAGACCTAGAGTTCTGTAAGACACTCTTCCTTGTGCAGGATATATTTTGCATCTCTGATCACAGTATACCACAGCTTAAGAACCAGCCTTCTCTCTAATCACAGGCTATAGTAAAGGGAAGTATCACAAAAAAGGGAACTAGAACGAGGGAGTTGTGAAGACTGCAGGGAGGCTGTGCACAAATACTGCATCATGTGTGTAAATTCTAAGCACATTTTAAAATGAGTGGATTAAACAGCAGGATTAACAACCTCAGAAAACGCTAGACTCAGAAGGAAGTACTCCTGCAGGCAAGTTAAAATGTTTACTGCAAAATTTGTCTGCACATTTGAGGTTCAAGATGACCTCAAGGTGAACCATAATTAATAGCATAGATTTGCCCTTAAGGTCTAATAATTTCAGATGTTTACCTTTAACAGATGAAGCTTGCCCAGTTAGATGTATTTCAACATATTTTACTGTATTCACCTTTAGTATCTTTTAAAAGAAGTGACATATCTTTATTTCAGACACAGTGAAAAATGAACGCTGTCAACCCTACCCTTCCTCTCCCCCTCACAAGTCCAATCTCCTTATAGTAGGCAAACAATGGCTTTGGGGATAGATTTGTCAAATAACGACTTGTTTGTTTAAAAGGTTTTGATTTCCAATACCATGGTACTAATAAGAGCATTTTTATTTCTACAGTACTTTAAATTTAAAATCTTTGAATAATAAGCTACTCAGCCGAGCAAACTACCGATGGGCAGACAATTAGAAAGAACCAAGAACTAAATTGCTACATATGCTTTGCACAGTTATCCACACTACCAATTATCCACCAATTCTATGCCAACCAATTGAAACCTCAAATGATAGCAAGTAGCTGGGAGTGGGAAAAAATAACAAAAAACAACAGGAATCTAACAATTGCTTCTCAAGCAAAGACATACAAACTATCATGAACCGATTAAGTACTTTGGTAATATTTTTCTTTCATTTAATTGACGTTTTACCTTTTCAATCAATTTGAGTGTCTACTGCACAAATTACATGGTTATTTTTGTATTCTTGCGTATCTACAAGCATGCCAATTGATATTTTAATTCCTTTACCCAAAGGCCTCTAATGTTTCTATGTCTGTATTATTTAATGGCATGTTAAACCTTATAAAGTTAGTATACTGTAGTTGATCACCTACGTTAGCAGCTCTACATCTAGATAAGTATGTATTTAAATACCTATCTCGTAGTTTGAATGAAGAAAATAATGGTACCTGAATTTGGAAAAAAAAAATGGAAATAGCCTTAAAATACTGTCTGAATTGTGAAGATTTCAAGGTGACAGCTATGTAATCTAAGAAATAATCTGAACAAATTATTTTACAATTACTTAACAAGACAAGCAGTGGCAACCATCTTTCACTATTTCAGATTGAACATTAACAGACCTAAGTCGTTTTCTTTGAATTAAGATAATAAACTCAACACCTCTAAAGGTCTGTTATATTAAATAGAATGAGAGTTTGTACAAATGCAAGAAAAGTAATTTTTATTGGTCATTTTCCACGACACGTCAGAAGGATGATATCAACCATGTTGTTTTAATCCACAAGAGCCTGATGACCAACTTGTATCAACAATGACCTCAAAATTAAGAATGCAAATAGCTTTTTATCTTAGAAGATGAACAGTTAGATATTTTTCAAAATGTCAGCAGATGGCACAGGCAGCATGGGAACACTGACTTTGTCACTATCTGCTGTGATAGAGACACAATCAAAGAGAAGACTGCCATTCGAGCATGCCTCAGAAACACGGCATTTGGTTTTATAAAAGTTTCCATTTTAAGGAAGGAAGTTCAACTGCAGAAACTGCTCTGAGGAGCAGG